ATGTGTCATTTGAAGGCCGCCTCCAGGTCCTCCAGGTCCTCTGCGGGCGGATCAGTGGGAAGGTCAGGAAATGCTCAGAGAGGCCGGGAGCCCAGGAGGAAGAGCCTGAACACCTGTCCTCCCCGGTCACCTGCTGTGCTGTCTGCCTCCTGCCACCTCCTGAGTATGCCCACTGTGGCCAGGCTGGTCCAAATTCACCATTTTCTGGTGGATGCAGCTGTGGCAACCCTCTGCTTGTGGCTGGTGGGTACTTTGCCAGGAACTCAGGAAACAGGACAGTGTTGGCTATGGTGGTGGATGTCCTAGAACCTGCTCAAAGCAAGCTGGTCCACATCTAACTCAGGGAGTGGGAGCAGACTGTGGTGCAACGTCAGGGTGTCTGTGAACCCACGCTCACGACTCCTCATATGTGGGACCAAACAAACGATGTGTCAATGTACACATAATGTTGGTGCAGTCTGTGCAGATGCTATCGTGATTAATGAAACACGAATTATTTTAGAAGTCATGTTAGCTGCTCAGTAGTGTCTGACTGCACTCCATGGACTGTAGCCCACCAGGCTCCTCTGTCCATGGGGTTCTCCAGGCCAGAATACTGGAGTGGGTTGCTGTTTCCTCTTCCAGTGGATCTTCTCAACCCCAGGATCAAACCCTGGTCTCCCGCATTGCAGGCAGATTCTTTACTGCCTATGCCAAAACCCACGGACTATTTCAAGCTAAATTAAAATGTGGTGTCGGCAGTGTTTTCTTTTAAGAAGTGGTGCTTGTACACAAAAAGGTTGAGAAAAAGTGATGTCAGCACCCCCTGGTTTCGCAAGTGAGGAGGAGAAGCCCCGACGGGAGTGGGGGGTACCAGAGCTGAGTCAAGGTCTCCCCAAGGTAGCTCATGGCCTGTTTTCCTGGAGGATGCTATTTTTGTGTAGGCTTTTCTGCAAAAGTCACTTTTCTTTCCACTAGGACATGCCTTAATTTTTGTGGGGCTTTGTGGGTCCCATCGCTTACGTGATTCGGGGAACTCCCTTTGGAAATAAAGACTCCGATACTGAATGTAAGACTTGGCCTCAGGAGGGGCCCTGGGATCCTCTCCTCTTCAGGCCTCCATCACCCATGGACTCATCTGCCCTTGAGTCCTCCAGCCATAGCCTCCTCCCCACAGAAAGTACAGCCTCCAGCTCAGGGCTCCCTTGTCTTGGAGTGTGTTCCATCACCACTCAATGATCTTCCTGATGAGGACCCACTTGTGCCTTTAAGTCTCATCAGCGGGGATGGAGAGCAAAGGTGGGATGAGGAGTGGGAGTCAGGGAGGGTTTTCTCCTACAAATGAGGCCCCTGGCTTGCAGGCGTGGGACCTCTGACCCCAAGGCTGGGCACAGGACTGTGCAGAGACCAGAGACTGGCTGGCCCTGCTCGCCACCTCCCTCAGACCTCTAGAAGCCCAGCTTTTGGCAGCATCTCTGCCTTCCTAACTCGTTTGAGTCATGGCAAGGACTCCCTACTTCAAAACTGAACTTGGATCCAAACTGTTGGCACTGATCTAAAGTGCTTCCCCAGGGGTCTGTGTCAGAAAGTGTGGTTCCTGTTCTCGAGCTGTCGTAGGACCATGAGCCCGGAGCTTTGGAACTCACAGATGCAGAAGACCTCCTCTGAGCCTCCTGCTTTAAGGAATGGTCGAACAACTTCTGCGACAATTCTGCACTCAGCAATATCTTATCTTATGCCTTTGGAAGCTGTCTGTGACATCACATTGTGTCTCTAAGAAAACAAAAGCTGCCCCCAAAATACCACGTTCCCAGGGAGTCCACGGTGTGGCTGGCCCACCCCGGCACTGAGCTAGAGCCTCAGACACCTGGAAGTCAGTGCTGTGTAGAAATGGCAGATGACTGGGTTGAAAGCAGGAGGACAAGGATTATTAATCTGGCCGGGCCAGCTTCAGGCTGTCTGTGACCCCTGACTGTCCAGAAATGCAGAGATGAGGTGAGCTGCACAGCTCTTAGATGTGTGTGTGCCTGGTCTGGTTTATAGTCGAGGCTTCCCTGATAGCTCAGTCAGTAAAGAACCCACCTACAATGCTGGAGAGCCTGGTTTGATTCCTGGGTTGGGAAGATCCACTGGAGAAGGGATAGTCTACCCACTCCAGCATCCTTGGGCTTCCCTTGTGGTTCAGATGGTAAAGAATCCGCCCACAGTGTGGGAGACCTGAGTTCGATCCCTGGGTTGGAAAGATCCCCTGGAGAAGGGAAAGGCTACCCACTCCAGTATTCTGGCCTGGAGAATTCCATGGACTGTATAGTCCGTGAGTTCGCAAAGAGCTGGACACGACTGAGCGACTTTCGCTTTCACTTTTGCCTCATGCCCCTGATACTGAGTGAGGGTATCAGGCTGCCAGAACCAGCCCTGCAGGAGCCCGTGCAGTGGAAGAATCCTGGGAGGACATGGCAGCAAGTTTGCCAAGCATGCTGAAGGCTCTCATTTCCCTTCCACTTTGTGCCTTCAGGCCCTTTGGGTGATGCCTCATGTCTGCCTCAGGGGTTCTTTTCAGCCAGACTCAGTTGCTTGTGACCTGTCAGCCTGGGGAAGACCAGCTGCAACATCAGGGAGGCAGCAGGACCGCCTAAGCTCCTGGCCTCTGCGTACCCACCAGGACCCTACCCACTGCCCTCTGCCACAACCATCCACGTCCGCATGACCCTCTATCATCTCTGTGGCTCCTCACCACCCGGCATTCACACCTGGTGCAGACCCCGCTCCCGGGGGATGGCAGGTCTGGTCTTCACTCACATGTAGAAATAAACATCTCTCTTCCCTCTTAAAGCACTGTCAGAAGACAGGTGGGGGAGTGTCCTTTTCTGGGTGTGGGTCTTTTGCAGACATCCAAATTGGCTGGTGCTCTGTCTTCTTCTTGTGAGTGATGTTGACCTACAGCTCAGACCCAGTGGGCTTGTCTGACGTTTTCCTGAAGAACTTTGTGACTTCTCTGGACCTCCTAGGTCCATCCTGTGGTGTTTGTCACCTGCGTGGTCCGTGGTGTCACCTTGTGTCTCCAGCCAGCAGAACAGAAAGGAGGTGGCCACGCCAGGTGCCATCAGTGGTTAAAGAACCCACCTGCCAATGCAGATACACGATTTCAATCCCTGAGTAGGAAAGATCTCCTGAAGGAGGGCTAGGCATCCCACAACAGTATTCTTGCCTGGGAAATACCATGGACAGAGGAGCCTGGTGGTCTGTGGTCCAGAGGGTTGCAAAGACTCGGACACGACTGAAGCAACTTAGTATGCACAGTTACTGAGATCTTCTACCTTGGCCCATGGCCGAGAGTTCTCCCATCACCCCCAAGTCCATGGGAGGCTGAGAAGGGTCTGTCTTCTTCTTTTTTTTTTTTCCCATTTATTTTTATTAGTTGGAGGCTAATTACTTTACATCATTGCAGTGGTTTTTGTCATACATCGAAATGAATTAGCCATGGATTTACATGTATTCCCCATCCCGGTCCCCCCTCCCACCTCCCTCTCCACCCAATCCCTCTGGGTCTTCCCAGTGCACCAGGCCTGACCACTTGTCTCATGCATCCAACCTGGGCTGGTGATCTGTTTCACCCTAGATAACATACATGTTTTGATGCTGTTCTCTTGAAACATCCCACCCTCGCCTTCTCCCACAGAGTCCACAAGTCTGTTCTGTACATCAGAGTCTCTTTTTCTGTTTTGCATATAGGGTTATCGTTACCATCTTTCTAAATTCCATATATATGTGTTAGTATACTGTAATGGTCTTTATCTTTCTGGCTTACTTCGCTCTGTATAATGGGCTCCAGTTTCATCCATCTCATTAGAACTGATTCAAATGAATTCTTTTTAATGGCTGAGTAATATTCCATGGTGTATATGTACCACAGCTTCCTCATCCATTCGTCTGCTGATGGGCATCTAGGTTGCTTCCATGTCCTGGCTATTATAAACAGTGCTGCGATGAACATTGAGGTGCACATGTCTCTTTCAGATCTGGTTTCCTCGGTGTGTATGCCCAGAAGTGGGATTGCTGGGTCATATGGAAGTTCTATTTCCAGCTTTCTAAGAAATCTCTACACTGTTTTCCATAGTGGCTGTACTAATTTGCATTCCCACCAACAGTGTAAGAGGGTTCCCTTTTCTCCACACCCTCTCCAGCATTTATTGCTTGTAGACTTTTGGATAGCAGCCATCCTGACTGGTGTGTAATGGTACCTCATTGTGGTTTTGATTTGCATTTCTCTGATAATGAGTGATGCTGAGCATCTTTTCATGTGTTTTTTTTTTTTGCCATCTGTATGTCTTCCTTGGAGAAATGTCTGTTCAGTTCTTTGGCCCATTTTTTGATTGGGTCATTTATTTTTCTGGAGTTGAGCTGGAGGAGTTGCTTGTATATTTTTGAGATTAATCCTTTGTCTGTTGCTTCGTTTGCTATTATTTTCTCCCAATCTGAGGGCTGTCTTTTCACCTTGCTTATAGTTTCCTTTGTTGTGCAAAAGCTTTCAAGTTTCATTAGGTCCCATTTGTTTATTTTTGCTTTTGTTTCTAAAATTCTGGGATGTGGGTCATAGGGTCTGTCTTCTTAAAGGTCATGTGCCTAGCCTTGATTCACCACCTCTTTTCCTCAGAGAAGGGATGGGATATTGGGGAACAGCTAGCATTCCACCTCCCCGAGAGCCTTCTCTAATTTCCTCCCAAAGAAGGAGACCTTCTGTGTCTCCAGCCTGTCCAGTCCTGAGGTCTCTGCTCACTTGCATGAGGGGTGAGAGTGGAGGTCATATTTTATTTACCACATTTCAGACACTTGAGCTTCATCTCTACTGTGCTCTGGCATAGGGTTTAGGAAGTATTGAGTCTTCATTCAATCAAATTAATGTCTCTCAGCCTTCAGTCTCTCGGCTGTAACATGAGGCTTAATCCAGGGTTCTCATGAGTATCTAAAAAAAGCAACAATAAGTGAAGCACGTGGAGAGGCTGAGTGCTGTAGAATTAGAGATGACAGCACTAAGCGCACACTTACTTGCGGATCCCCAGGCCTGGGAAGGGCTGGTGGAGGTTACCGTGCCAAAATGTGAGCAGACCCACGTGAGGCCCAGCAAGGCCTTCGGACCACAGGGTGAGAGAGGACCCCAGGCCAGGAGGACAGGCCGTCCGAGGATTGAGGATGCCTCGGGGTGTTGGGTCCCTGTCCATGGGATTTCCCACAGGGTGAGAGAGGACCCCAGGCCAGGAGGACAGGCCGTCCGAGGATTGAGGATGCCTCAGGGCGTTGGCTCCTCTGTCCATGGGATTTCCCAGGCCAGAATACTGGAGTGGGTTTCCTCCTCCAGGGGATATTCCCAAACCAGGGGTCAAACCTGCATCTCCTGCATTGGCAGGCAAGTTCTTTACTGCTGCACCATCAGTTGTGTCTTATTCAGGGACCCTACTGAGGACAATAGCCTTGGAGACAGCCTCGTAGTGGCTCTGAGGGGCTGTTCCAAGGAGGAAAGGAAGGAACCAGGATATGTAGGAGTTTTTGCTGGAAAATAATGTAATTAAGCATCAGAAGAGTACTGCTCATCACCAAGACCAGACCTCTCGAGATAATGATCATAGTGCATCTCTCTGTGCGGACGATGCAGGAGTCTGGGCTCATTGAACTCATTCCCAGATGTGCGTCGTCACTGTCTACAGCCAGCGTCCTGTCCTCCTCCATCCTGAATTCCCTCAGGCTGCACCATCAGGCCAGCTATCCTGCTGCTGGCTTCACAGCTGCAGCATCCTGTTTATTGCCATGGCAGGCTACATTTTTTGTCACAGACTGTAGACATGCATCTCCAAAATGCAGGGCCTGTTTGATCAGATGTCACGTATCAACCAGCCTGTGAGCTTGTGCAGAAAAGGTGTTTGTGCCCTTCCCCCACCCCACTAAATACTGACCATTCTGCTGGGAGTGGGACCTGGGCATCTGTAACAGAAGTACACACCATTCCCATGTGTTTCCCTGAGAACCTCCCTAAGGGATTGTTGTGGCTGTTCAGTCACTAAGTCCGACTCTTTGTGACCCCGTGGACTGCAGCACGCCAGGCTTCTCTGTCCTTCACCATCTCCTGGAGTTTGCTTATGTTCACTGAGTCAGTGACGCCATCCAACCATCTCGCCCTCTGACACCCCCCTTTTCCTTTTGCCTTCAACCTCCTCCCCCCTCAGTCAGTCTTTCCAAGCATCAGGGTCATTTCCAGTGAGTCAGTTCTTCACATCAGGTGGCCAAAGGGTTGGAGCTTCAGCTTCAGCATCAGTCCTGCCCATGAATATTCAGAACTGATTTCCTTTAGGATTGACTGGTCTGAGGGACTCTCAAGAATTTTCTCAAGCACCACAGCTTGAAAGCATACCCAGCAAGAATTATGCAATGACTTTTGTGGCCTCTTCTTGTTCTGCATCTGAAAAACAATCTGGAAATTTTGAGAATTCCTTGTCTTGGCTGGACTGGCCTTCATCGCCTTGAGCCCCAAAGGGACTTTGTCCTCTTGGACATGCCCATATATGTGAGACCTGAGTGACAATATTCGCTTCTTTAAGATGCAGTGACAAGACAGAGGGAAGTGGGCCCAGATCCTGCTGTAAGCAGAAGCTGCATGGATGGAAATTTCTTCCTCTTCAAGTGAATGTCCCAAGATGCATCCTTCTTGCTTGATTCCAAGAAGGTCCCGGAGCGGGTCGGGGAGGTGAAGGAAAACTGTACCCTCTCATTCTCATGAGTTGTCTGTAGTTGCTCAGAAGGCAAGTTTCTCCTGTTGTTCCAAGGCAAGGGCTCAGGCAATTAATTTAGTTGATGAACTAAGGTTTTTTTCCCCGACAAAACTCTACCCATAAACTACATTTGTTTCACAGCATTTAAACCAATTGCATCATTAAGCTAGAAGCCTGAAGAAAACGTTTGCAGAATGGGGATGTTCGTAATGAACTGGGAAATGTCATGGTTTCATCTGCATGGCCCTTTTCCTAGCATTTCCTTATACTTAATTATCTCTTTAATGAGCAACAAACTCACAGGAAAATAAAAACACCAAGGAACAATGTGTTTAAGGGCATTTGGAGATAATGAACTGAAGCCGCCCTTTGTGTATGGCCTGCCTTTGGCACGGAGGCATTTCGTCTTGGTTAGCGATCGTCTGGCCATGGGATGTTGGGTATTTGCCAACACAGACATCAGACCCTTGTCACTCCTGAGAACTCTGGTTTCCAAGCTCCCTTCTGACCAGCACGTCTCCTCTGAAGCCTGTGGTCCTCTGCATCATGTGCTCTGAGCAGTGCACTGAGAGCTCAGTGACGTACTCAGCATCTCCTAATGGATGGGACAGAAATAGTGCTTCTCGGCCCAGCCTGGGGGCTCTTTTCTCCCCTGATCTGGCTCTCATCCCCACACGTGTGACCCCCTGCCCTATGCTGGCCAGACTGCAGCAGCAGTGTTTCCATTGCATCCGAAGGCAAGCTCTAGAAACGAGGTGGACACGTGATGGACAGATGAGAAGCTAGGAGTATGCCGTCCCATGCTCCGTGCCCCTCACCAAGCCCTGGACCCTTCTAGGGGTGAAGGTGGTGGGGAGGGGACCCCACAGGCTGCTGATTCTGTCCCTTCTGCCTCAAGGGGTTACTCAGGGTCAGAAAAGCTGTGCATGAGTTTCATGTCTGCAGGGCAGTGCTATCTGTGTGTTCCTGTGTGAAGATTATGTCTGGGCACCTTACGTGCACCCACTACTGTTCCTTTGGGATTTTCTGGTCCTGAAAGAACACACTTTCCTGAAAGAGCGCCGCGGTCAAGCTCGTGCCCCTGATTTCAGGTGGATGATGCTTGCATGTCCCCCCACCCCCACTCCATGCATTCTGCTCACTCCCACTCTCCCCACTCCCCCTCCCCCACCTGACGTGCTGACTCTCCCACCACCCAGCACAGGTGCTGTGGAGCAGGATCTCCCACAGACTGCACTGCAAGCAGTGCCTGTTTTCTCCAGCAACCCAGGTGCTGGAGTCTTTCACTCACTGTCTTCACACGCCAGCCAGACAAGCCAGGTGGTTCTGCAGAGAGTCATCTCTGTGTCACCTCCCAAAACCACACCTGAAAGTCACTTTGCTGGCTACTGAAGACACTTGAAAATTACAAGCCCTGGAGAGCTGGCTGGATTCGTTTTTTTTTCCCCAGCAGAACTTTGGGGTTTTTTTATTGGCTCCAGCACCACTTCTGAGTCATTTCCTGGGGTGCCGGGAGATCACAGAGCGCTGGCAGGGCAGATGTGTTAGAGGCAGCCGCTGTGCCCCTCAGGTGACAGCTGGGGCCTCATTCAAGGTCCCCCGGTAGATGGCAGGATGGGGGCAGAACCCAAGACTGGGGCCCCTTCAGCATCTTTCTTGGACCCACTGTGACCCAGGCCTGGGGTGCATCTGGTGATGGGAGTCAGATGTGCCGGGCACTTCCTGGGGGACAAGACTCTGCTGTCTGGTGCTGCTCCTGGGTCACAGGGGTCGGGGTCTGCACAGGCTGCTGGAGACCAGGAGGGAAGCACCAGGGGGTGGGAGGTGGAGGCACAGGGAGACTTTCTTTAGCGGGAGGCCGGCGCTTCATAAAGGGAGTCACTTCTAGCTCTGCTATTGCAGGTCCGGCAGGACGTTGGGGTTCCTCTCACTGAGCCCCCAGGCCAGTAGAGCCCATGATGGAGGAACAGACTGCACATCGGCCAGCCTCCCTGGGACAAGGAGCTGCAGGGCCCCTAAACTTGGCTGTGGAACGCCTTTGTGGCCCCTGCAGCAGAGCCCTGACTGATGTGGCCCTGATCCCCCTTAGCCCTGACCCTGTATCCATCCTGCAGTTGATGGGTCCTCTGCCAGCAGAGCCGGGCCTCCAGGCTGGCCCAGTTCCCGGCCTCGCCATCTGGCTCCTCTGTGACTCCACCTCTGGTGCCACCTCCCTCGCCCTTATTCTGATTCTCACCATCCCCTGTGGGTCTGATGCACTCATTCTGTTTTCTCCATGTGATTTCAGGCCTTGTGGTTGCCTTTCTGTTGCTGCAGGCTCTCAGAGCTGGTTTATGGTCTACCCCGAATAATTACTGGTGAATGGGACTTGCATTGCATGGTTGTAGAGCTGTGCAGACCGTTATTTTAAAAACAAATCCGGGGCAATTTGTTAATAAAACACATCTCAGAGCTGTTTAGCTCCGGGGTGGTTCTCGGACCCCAGCACTCTGATGAGTGGCACCTGGGAAGTGCCCTCTCTCGGCTTGTTCAGAAGACTGGGTGGGATTGTTCTTTCCGGAATAGACATCAGATCCTACGGGACTCATCCCCAGTCAGAGCTCCAGTTAACCAAGACTCGTTGACAGGGAGGAGCTGTGGGAGCGCCCGGTGGAGGCTGGGCTTATTGCTGTTTCCATCCCAGTCTCCCTGAAGGGGAGGCTATTCTGAGTTTCTGCCACATGGAATGCAATTGCCTCCTTCTGTCACAGTGAGGGGCCCACCGACCTTTGAGCATCTCCCCCCACACAGCTGTGTGCCAGGGCCCTGTGTGCAGGCCTGAGCCCTCAGTGTCTCCTGCTTGTTGATTTTCTGAGATTCAAGCTCCAGATAGTTACATCCTCACGTGGTTCTGCTGAGTGCTCCCTGCTTCAGATGAATTGATCTCCTCTAGTTCTGGTTTTCTGATCCCCTTAAAGTAATAACCCACAACAGAGCAACAGTAAGTCAACTCAGAAAGGACTTCTTGGGCTAATCATGATCAAATTTGTGCAAAAAAAAAAAAAATTAGAGTTGTTTTTAGATGGTTCGCCTCTCTTTGGTCAGGCCTTGATTGACTGGGGTGGACTGATTGGGTTTGCTGCACTGGGGTTCAGTGGTCAGACCAGGCATGTCTGAAATGAAGGTGCACCGGGTGCAGGGAGGCCTTCTCAGAGGCTGTGAGGAGGGAGGTGTCCCTGGGGGGGCTCCCCAGTGCCCTCACTCATGCCTCCACACATCTCTGTTTTGTCTCTTTCCTTAGAGGAAATCCTGAAGATCCACATCACCCACTGGTGGTCTCCGTACAGTATGCGGCTCACCTATGCCACCATCAGCGACTCGTGTGTGCCGGTCATGGAGCTGCCCACCTACACTGGCTCTGTCTACCCACCGTGAAGCCCTACCACTACCCCAAGGTAGGCAGGAAGCCGCGCCAGGACAGTCTCTGCATATATTCACCAGCTGCCCCGCCCAGCCGGCTCCCCACCCCCTCGTGGAGCTGTGACTCTCCCATGTGCTGTGAGCAAGGCAGTAAACAGAGGCAGGATTAACGATGTCCCGTTACATTGCATTAAATTCCCATCTTTGCAGAGCAAACTGTTAGCAAACTGCATCGTGCCAGTGTGGGGGGGAGGGCCTGATGCCAAAACTTCTGCCGCCCACTCAGCTGGAGAGAGGCTGGGGCCCAGGAGAGTGGACGCAGCCCTGCCTGCCCCGCCTGGTGACAGGGTCCCCATGTTCCCCCGGGGCTGCCTCAGAAGGACTTTCCAGCCTCTGCCAACCCAGCCCTGGCCCTGGCTCCCCAGCCACCAGAAGGCTCTGGGAGCTGACACCTCCTGCTGTCCAGAAGTACAGGACACACGGCCTGCAGTTTGCAGCGAGGGGGAAATGGTGCCCAAGCAAGGGTCCCAGGGTCCCAGGGTCCCAGGCCAGAGGAAAGAAACACCAGGTGTATCGGTCAGCTTGGGCACCGTAACAACCACCAGAGACCACTGCTTAAACAGCTTAAACAGCAGACATTTTTAAAGCCACCAACTGCTTAAACAGAGGACATTTTTCTTCTCACGGTTCAGGAGGCTAGGAGCCAGAGATTGACTAGAAACGGAACAGTTTCCCTGGTGAACCCTTTCACGAGAGTCTCCCCAACCTAGGACTGATGGGATAACCTGAAACCTAGAAAACTGCAGCCCCCTGATTTTACCGTGAACTCTGGGACAAGTCTCTATAACTGGAATTATGACACCCGGGATGGCTCAGGACTGGGGGGACCGTGTTTTAGTAGAAAGTCAGCATATTCTGACCAACAGAATTCAGACGCCCACTTCCAGACTGGAGGCACGAGCTGGTGACCCATCTGTGGGGATGTCTCATCAGCAGCCTAGTCTTCTGCCCTGCCGGCCAGTGCTTGCCCAGGGAGGGGACAGAGGAGAGTGGCATCCTCTCGCCTTCTACTGACACTCCCCTTGAAGGGCTTCATCCTCCCTACGCCGAGTCTCTCATGTCTCCTGGCAGACTTAGCACCCAGGCCGGTCCAGGTGGGAGGCGGCCCCCATACCCCTGTTCCCTTTCCTCCCAGGCCTGCTGTGAACATCCCAGCATCTGCCTGCACATCATTGGCCTGAACAGACCCACAGATGACCTGGAGATGGTGCCACCCGATGATCCAAGCATGAGGTTTGCATTCTTCCTTCAATTATGGGACGATAATAACAATGAGATCAGTGCCCGCTTATGTGGTTTCTATGGGCTCAGAGTGCCAATTTAAACGTCCAAGGAAAAGGCACATTTTGTAAAGTTTTCATGACTGCTTTAGGACTTGGTATTCTGGGAAAGGAACACCCATCAAAGCCACTACAGTTTCTTACCTTATATCAGGCTCAGATCCTGCTCCCCAGAGTCTGGGCTTCAAGGGGACAGAGGGGATGGTTAACCACACTTGTCCAGTGGGGGCACCTGGCCTGCACATGGAAGACTTAGGGGGGCACCCCTCAGATGAACAGATGCACCTTTCCAAGAAAGTCCAGGTAATGGGACCTACTGTGCACAGGACCCTATTTTCAGAGCCTCACTTTAGAGTGTGGAGTCCCCAATCCCCAGGCCACAGAGTCGTACTGTTCCTCTTAGCAACTGGGCTGCACAGTGGGAGGTGAGTGGCGGGTGATCGAGAGAACCTATGTCTACGTTTACAGCCACTCTCCATCACTCACAGGACCACCTGAGCTCTGCCTCCTACTCAATGAACTCAGTAAATGTAATGCACTTGAATCAATCCAAAACCGTCCCCCAACTCCATCCATGGAAAAACTGTCTACCGCGAAACTGGCCCCTGGCGCCAAAAAAGGTTGGGGAGTGCTGCATTAGAGCATTAATTGTTCTTTTTCAGGTCTAGGAACTAAATGCTAAGTCCTGTACCATTTAAGCCAAAGCTCCCAGTCGGCATAACAACCATGTAGTTGGTGGAATGTATAGACAAAGGCAACTGTCCTGTTAGTAATGACCGGCTCAGGTTGATCTCATTTTCCAATCAAGAATGCTGAGTAGAATCTAACTGAAGGGGTCTGGATTTCAGTTTCATCTTGTCCCAGGGTCCAAGTGGCCTGGGGACTGGTTTTACTTCTAGAGTTTACTAATAGTGACATTAAACCCCACTCTGTTGAGAGTATTGATAGGAGACGCAAAAAGGGAAGGGGACTGGGCTGGCCCCAGCTTTCACTCATTCACAGATTCTGCAAGCCTGTGCACGGGCCCAGTTAAGCCGAGAATGATCCATCCGGAGGCTCAGCAAATTCCCAGCCCACGTTTTGCTGTAACGGTAGCCTGGGTCTTCCCTATTCACTTACGGAGTTCTGCATTACTAGCAGCTTCTGGAAGCTTCCAGAAGGGCAGGTGCAGTGGCCTCAGCCACTCTGGCTCCTCTGCAGGCCCAGCTCAGGGCTGGACACACGGGCACTTGGAGCCGCTGGTCCATAACAATGTGGGCTTCTCCTGTGGCAGCTTCATTGCTGTTCCTGGTAGAACCTGTCTGCCCAGAGCCTCTGCAGGACCCACTGAGGTTCTTTCAGCTCTTCCGTCTCCAGAGGTGTGTAAAATCAGTGGTCCTCAGGAGGACAGACCCAGCCCAAGGCTCCCCGCTGCCTGTCCCTCCCGGCCCTGGAGTGGTCACCCCACTCGTGCAGCAGGTCCCAAAGCCTCACTCTTGGATGGCTCCTCCTGGGTGATCGGGCCCTCAGTGTGTTCCAGAGTGGAATCAACTTGGGCGATGCTATTCTTGCCGGGACCCACTCTGGTGTTCTTGCCTGGAGAAGCCTCTGGACAGAGGAGCCTGGCGGGCTACAGTTCATAGGGTCGCCAAGAGTCAAGCATGACTGAAGCGACTTAGCATGCATGCATGCATTCTTGCCGGGATAGAAGAAACACTGTGACCATTGCTTCATCTTCTCTCCTGAAGATCCATGCGTTTTGCTGTCTTCCTCCAGCACCATCCCAGGCCTGGGGCCTGGTCCAGCAGTCTCTCTGAATTAATATTGGAAGTCACCTGGAAAGTTTAAGCCATCTGTTTGAGTTCATTGACAATCTCGTTTAGTCCATTTGGTGATGCTATTTCTGCAGGCTTGATTAGCTTCAAGGGCAGTGAAAAATTAGCCTCCGTCAGGGCTGCCGGGATGCGGGCCTTGGGTCCTCTGCTCTGCAGTTTCCTGAGCTCAACGTGGCGATGCTTTCCCGGTGCCAGTAACCCGCAGTGTGTGAATGTCACGATTTCTCATCTCCTTCCCTGTCACAGTCTTGGGATTCTTCAAAGTGAGCCGCACATCTGTCAGAAAGCATGCAGTAAATGTGAGCAGCCATTTAGCAAGCATGTATTTGTGTCCATTAGGCTGAGAATTTAGCATGAATGAAACATGGAGGTTACTATGCAGAGGAGGTATTGGCCTTGAAGGAAGCATTCCAAGCAAGTGGAGGGTTGCAGGCGTGAGAGAGGCTGTGCTGAGAGTGGGGCCTGGACGAGGAGGCCCCCCGCCCCCCCGCCAAGTCTGAGGCTTTCTCTCCCCGGCATTTAGGGCCTGGGGACACTTTGCAGTGGGGGCTGCATTTTGCATCACAGAGACTTCAGGTACATCCCCAGCTCTCCCCACTGGATGACAGTGTGACCATCGAAAACACCCCAGAACCAGACTGAAAACCACTGGTTCCGAGTGAAGGTTCACAAGCCACTGCCTGGGTCTAGATCCCAGTTCTCTGCTCTGGGGCGAGTTCCCCTTCTCCTGCCTCATTCTGATTCCTCATCTGCAAGATGGGGATGAATGTTCACAATCAAGTGTTCACTCTCGTGGGTGCCGTGAAGATTAGACAGTGCACATAGCACAGGCTGGTCCTCCCATCTCATGCCCGTGAATCCTACCTGCTGGCCACTGGCACTCAGCCCAGCCCTCAGAACTTCAGGTCCATTTCTAACTGCTGGTCCAACATCTTCCCTTCAACTGGTCAGGTTGTGATTCTCAGAGAAGGTAAATGAGCAGATGTCAGGGGTTTTATTTAACTCACTATTTAACCAATGGGGCATTAGAACCAGTCTCAGGGACAGATGAGAAGCTCCGTGTGTGTGGACAGTCTGACAAGAAATATAAGGACAAGCTTGAGGGTTACTGATCCCCCTGGGCCCTAACTGTAACCTTGGGCTCTTTGACACACCGGACAGAAATCCACATGAGATGCCCACCCCAGCAGGGCTGCCCAGGCCATCGCAAGGCAAGCTGGCCTTTGCACAGGAAGATACTCAGTGACCTCGGTTGGTCTTTGCATGTTTCAGGTAAATCCTCTATCTCTAAATGATATCCTAAACTGGGCTTTCCCAGTTGCTCAGAAGTGAAGAATTTACCTGCCAATGCAGGAGCCGCGGGAGATGTGGGTTTGCTCCCTGGGTTGGGAAGATCCCCTGGAGAAGGGCATGGCAACCCACTCCAGTATTCTTGCCTGGAGAATCCCATGGATGGAGGAGCCTGGTGGAGTACAGTCCAGGGGATCACAGAGAGTAAGACCCGACTGAAGTGACGGAGCATGCACACACATGTGAAGTTCAAACTCCAGTTCTGGGCTGGGCCTGGCACATGGTATGAGCTGGGTAAACATTTGCTGAGTGGGCAAATTAAGTTTAAAATTAGCTGATAAAGTTCTGTTTCAATAGGATCCTTGTAGATATGGATTTCTTTGGTTGTCCTGGAAGCAAAACTTGATAGGTACTTGGCCCTTGCTGACGTTCTGCTGTCTCAGTACAGGACGCTGTATAGGAGAGCACCCTTTACCTGTCCTGGGCTTGTAGCTGGGACCCTCACAACAAGACAGATTAACAAGAGGGAAGCACAGTTTACACACATGACCCACACATAGCATGGGAAAACATCTCAATCCAAAGCATCAATTCACAAGTGCAGCTTTTACAGCCTCATCTACCAGGAGCAATAAACTTGTAGAGAATTACCAGGGTGAGGAGGCAGGTTTAGGGTTCCCAGGGTGGAAGCTGTGGGGAGTGCACAAACCAGAGGGCCCGGTGCAGGAATGTGTAGACTATAGGTTCCCTGGTGCACCTCTGGGCCAGTGAGAGTCTGTCTCCAGGAAGAGGGAACTATTTCCTGCCTTTAGGCAGAAAACAGGAGCTTTGCTGGGTTCACTGCTTCCTAATTGCCCTCCACTCAAAATAATTGTCATGTCAAAAAGGCGTATTTTAGGGTGACCTAGTCTGGTTTCCTTCAACACTAGAGGAACTAAAGCTAGAGAAGGTCAAAGTAAGGCACTTACTTTGTGGAGGGATGGAAAAAGGGAGGAAACCTATGTAATGCCCTCAACAATCTAGGCAAGGATAGACAAACAAAGAAATATATAATAGTCAAAAAGTTAAGTATCGCAAGATAGGCATCAGTTCTGTTCAGAATTTTGCTGAAAGATAGAAACCCAAGGTGGAGGGTGAGGGAACGAGGAGGGGTAAAAACAAGCAGGATTTGGTCACTTTGGGACATAGGCAGAGATATTCCAGATCCAGGAGAAGCATGCAGGGAGGTTCCTCGATCAGGCATGGGCCCAGTTTGGTTGTGTGTTGTTTTCACACTTGTCATTCCCTCTGCCCTTCTCTCAGGAGCCAGGGCGTGGTGTCGTGTCTCACAGCCCTGCGGTGAGGCCCCCATCTACTACTCCACAGAGGCAGGGATGAGAACCCAGCCCCTGAGGGCAGGGTCTGCAGCTCCCCTGGTGGTGCTAGTGGTAAACAACCTGTCTGCCAATGCAGGAGACGCAGGTCCATCCCTGGGTCAAGAAGATCCCCTGGAGCAGGGAATGGCAACCCACTGCAGGATTCTTGTCTGCAGAATCCCAGGGACAGAGGAGCCTATCAAACTGCAGCCCATGGGGTCACAAAGAGTCCAACACGACTGAGCACACAGCTAAATCCACACAGAACCTGAAAGGTGCCCTGGGACTCAAGCCAGGCAGGGCCACCTGTCCCTCCACATGGCCTCCACAGGGAGATGCGGAGAGTCCTGAAAGGCCAGGTGCCACTTCCTGCAGACTGGTCAGGGCCCTTCAAGAGGAGGAAGTAAACGTTTCTTGTGTCAGCCATCTCCCCTTCATCCTGCTCACTTCCCACCCTTTGCTGTCACTCTTCAGCCAGCCCAACTCCCCTGCAG